AGATGAGCCAATCAATAAATAAATCAGGAATGATTGACAGTCCTGTCCTCTTCCCTGTCTCACTTCAGGAATCTTTTGGTTTGTGTTCTTGTAAGATAAGGCCTTACATATTTTTTTTAAAAAGGGGGAAGAAGTCTTATGTAAAGCATTACTAATATATAAATGATAAATATATAAAATTATTGGTGACTTATGAATGGAATCATGGCACAGTGCATAAAAAAAGGAAAAGTTTAGTTCTATAAATAAATAAATAAATAAATAAATAAATAGTTCATAATTCAGCTGCAGAATCATAACCTCAGTATTGACTGATTCAATGATGAATGTTGCTTTGCCTTGTACCTCAATATATAGTGCCGTATTAAATAACCACTGTTGTTTTTCAGCTTTTGTGTGAAATGCACTGTAAAGGATGCACTTTTTTCCATTCTTTTTTTGAGATACAGTGGCAGGGGTGGACATATCATAAATCCAGTGTGCTGCCCAGTCCCATGTTTGGTTGCTATTTATTTATTTGGAAACTAAAGAATGTATGGCAGATTACTTAGCTACTTAAGTGCGTTTATTTAGAATAAGGGAAACTAAAATGTGTATAAAAATTCTACTCTTCTAACCAAATTTATAATGTCGGGCATCATGTTTATGCCCTTGACAAAAAGTCAGCAAGAAGTTGACCAGTGGCACGTCTCAAGTAAAAGATGGCTATCGTCTTTGTTTACTTATAGCAGGAGAGTTATTAGACAGCTGCTATAGTTAAGTACTGAATAAAAACTTTTTTTTTGTAAAAGTCAGCAACAACTACTTTTTCTGGTTGTTAAAAAATAGTCTCTAATGCATCATGTGATATACTATGAGACTATGATTATATTTTCTGCCTTTCAGCAAAGTTCTGAGCTATTTCTGCTCATAAGTTGTTGCACTTGCTCTGCACAGCAGTAAGAGGAGTAAAGAGAATGCCAGACTGTTCAGTGTTTGGGGAAAGAAACATGGCCAGGCGGTTAGATGAGCTCTTGGAGACGTTTCTGTGCTTAATATAGGCATGAGTAACACTTTCTCTTTGGCACAGGAAAGACATTTGCGCTTCTACCAACAAGCCATGTGAGACGCTGGGGCTCTCTCATGTGGCGGGAATGTGTCAACCTCATCGGAGCTGCAGCATAAACGAGGACACAGGTCTGCCGCTGGCCTTCACCGTAGCACACGAGCTAGGACATAAGTAAGTCATCCACCAACAGTGCTACTATAATACTTAGGTTTCATCATTAATCCCTGTTCTAAAGTACGTTTTTATTCAAAGTGGCACAGTACTGAAAATGATTTCTTTTTTGTGCATGGCTCTATTTTTCTGAGCAAGAACATTTTTGAATACAGGATATTTTTAGTAGAAATGGATTTGAAATGGCTCTAGCTGAACTTCAGCAAGAGTGACAGTGGTCTCATAATTATACACTGATGAGCCGTGACATTAAAACCACCTGCCTAATATTGTGTAGGTCCACCTTGTGCCACCAAAACAGCTCTGATCCATCAAACCATGGACTCCACAAGATCTCTGAAGGTGTGCTGTGGTATCTGACACTAATACGTTATCAGCAGATGCTTTAAGTCCTGTAAGTTGTGAAGTGGGGCCTCCGTGGCTCGGACTTGATTGTCCAGCTCATCCCATAGATGATCGTTCGGTTTAAGATCTGGGAAATTTGTAGTATGAGTCAACACCTTGAACTCTTTGTCATGTTCCTCAAACCGTTTCTGAACAATTTTTGCAGTGTGACAGGGACCATTATCCTGCTGAAAGACACCACTGACATTAGGGAATACCGTTGCCATGAAGGTGTGTACTTGGTCTGCAACGGTGTTTAGGTAGGTGGTACGTGTCAAAGTAACATCCACATGAATGCCAGGACCCAAGGTTTCCCAGCAGAACATTGCTCAGAGCATAACACTTCCTCCGCTGGCTTGCCTGGCTTGCCATAGTGCTTCCTGGAACCATCTCTTCCCCATGTAAGCGACGCACACACACCCGGCCGTCCACACGATGTAAAAGACAATGTGATTCCTCAGGCCACCTTCTTCTTTTCCTCCATGGTCCAGCTCTGATTCTCACATGCCCATTGTAGGTGCTTTCAGCATGGGTACTCTGACCAGTCTGTGGATACACTGCCCCATATGCAGTAAGCTTTTGCTTCGCACGCTCATCAATGAGTCTTGGGTGCCCATGACCTGGTCGCCGGTTGTCCCTCCTTGGCCCACTTTTGATAGGTACTAACCACTGCATACCAGGAACACCCCACCAGGACACCAGTCCACCACCCCACCAGGACACCAGGACCCACCCCATGAGATGCTCTGACTCAGTTGTCTAGCCATCACAATCTAGCCCTTGTCAAAGTCAACAGATCCTTACACTTTCCACTTTTCTTGCTTCAAACACATCAACTTTGAGAACTAACTGTTTGCTGTTGATATATCCCAGCCCTTGACGGGTACCATTGTAACATGATAATCAATGTTACTCGCCTCACCTCTCAGTGATTTTTTAGTGATTATAGGAAAGTAATCAACTTTAGGCTGGTAACAATATCGCCATTTTGTGTTGGCCACATTACCACAATGGTGTAATTATTTTGTAAGAGCAAATCCTTGGTGTTGTATGTTGTGTTCGCAGGGCTCCAGTGGCGCAATCGGTCAGCGCGTGGTACTTATACAGCAGTACAGGTGAAGCAATGCTGAGGTTGTGAGTTCGAGCCTCACCTGGAGCACAGGTTTTAAGTGCATCTTACAACCTTAGTCAGTCCAATGGTAAATTTTCAGTATAGCTGGAATTATACTTGGAGGTCATGTGCTGATTTCTGATAGATCATTTGGTAGCTCAGTGGTTAAGGCTATGGTTTACTTTGTCTGAGGGTTGGTGGTTCAAGCCCCAGAACTGACATGTTGGACCCAGTTTACACTTAGGTGCTCCAGGTGAACTCTATCATCTCCGACCTAACAAGTTTGCCTATATGATATATTGAAGATACAACTTTACACTGTTACATGGTAACAGTTATATAGCTAAAAGCACTTATATAGCGCTTTTATCCAAAGCGTTTTACACTGTCTCTCATTCACCCATTCACACACCAATGGTAGCAGAGCTGCCATGCAAGGCGCTAGCTTCCCATCAGGGGCAACTTGGGGTTCAGTGTCCTAGGACACTTCGGCATATGGAGTCACCCGTTCCGGGAATCGAACCAATGATGGACAACCCACTCTACCAACTGCGCCACAGCCGCCCATAAACATTACATTACATTACATTACATAAACATCTCCTCACAGCAAACCTCACCATATCAACAGTTAGATGTTTTTAATCCTTTTATGTGGCGCATCCTCCATACAAGTTCAATACAAGCATGAGCTATTACTATAGAAACAATAGCATATTAGAACAGTACATTAATATAAACCTGTGATTTGCTGTTATAACAAAAATATACAGCTTACAACCAATCAGTATCAAGAATTCAACAGTATTGTTGCATAACCAATTTTAACACCATATACCTTGTTTGATGTGGATAGGTGTTAAAAAAGTCTTAGCTAGCTAGCAGATATTAGCTTCTTTCAATCGAATAGCATGTCTGTTTCCATAAATTCTGTTTATATTATTAATACCCTCATTCTAATACATTAACGTACACATGGACTTTGTTTCATTTAGCTTTTACCAGGGAATGGCAGTAGCATAACAGAGATAAAACGATTACAGTGAAGTGTAATATAGCAGGCCTAGGGAGATTACTGTGAAGAGTGTAAAATGTGATTATCCTACTTTGATTATTCTTATTCATGTACACTGAAAGTACAGTGGGTGTTGTATCTTATTAAGCATCATAAACAAGCCTGGGTTGACGGTAATGTCAAGGGACTTTAATGAATTGCAGATTACCTGTCTGTATGCTAATGAGGAGCGGTGTAGGTATTGGTGTCGGAGTCAGTGCCACATCACGCAAATGAGGTTTTAAAAGCAGAATCGCAGCACATCTGTATGCATGAGAAACATCATAAAGAGATGTGGTCTTCATCAAAGGAATCATCAAAGATGAATGTGGTCTTCATCAAAGGAATCCTGTTATGTTTGATTATGTGTTGTGAGGCACTTTGGAGGCTCATGTGTTATTTGTTTCCTTGTCTTTGATAAGTGTTTTGGGTAACACCACGTATGACTATAATTATCATGGAATTTCTTGACTCATTTGCAAACACAAGACTTGTAAATTACAATAAATATTTGCATCAATCATAACATTTAATATGGAAAAAACTGAGCTGCATCAAAGGAAACATGGCATATTAGCATCTTCTTAAAAAAAAACCAAATATTGCTTGTACATCTTATTAGAATACATGTTTACACCACAGTGCTGTTGAATTCTGACATCTGATGAGAAGGCATTGATTTATTTTTGTAACATTAGTGCAGAATGTAAGGAAAATTCCAGGTATATCAATGCACACATTCTAATAACCTACGGTATTGTTTCTATAGTAACAACTTGTGCACTGACGTGCATGGCGGACGTTCCACATAAACACATTGACAAGGTTTGTATTTTTTAACATGGTGGTATTTTCTGTAAGGAGAAGTATATTTAACATTTTTGGAAGGAGTCTTTGTTACAGTCAGAGGTAAACGTTTGAAAGTCTTCAGGATGATGGGCTACATTTTTTTGTTTGTTTATCTTCAAGAGGGAGAGAAAAAAAGAGACTTGTGAGGAAAGGATTAAAAAAGTAATTAAACAGAACGACGTGCCTTTCTTTAATAAATTATTTATTGGCAATTTACTGTGGAATATGAGGAACAAAACACTTCAAGACATTCTATTATAGGAAAGTTTTTTATATTATAATCAACTTTAGTGTGGTAATAGTATCTCCATATTGTGTTGGCCACAGCTCTGGTGATTTTTCTGTAAGGGCACATCCTTGGTGTTGTATATCGCGTTTGCAGGGCTCCAGTGGCGCAATCGGTCAGCGCGCGGTTCTTATACAGCAGTACAGGTGGAGCAGTGCTGAGGTTGTGAGTTCAAGCCTCACCTGGAGCATAGCTTTTAAACACAGGCTCCAAACTTTGTGTGGCCAGATTATACTGCAATATTCATATAAAGAGCTCAAACTCTCTTAATGATTATCGATGAAATGTGCAAAATTGTTAGTTGGAAACCGTAGTTTCTTCCTACCTCCCAAAAACATACCAGTAGCTGGATTGGCAGAAATAAAATAACTTGGGTGTGAATGTGTGTGCATTGCTTCCAGGTTGTATAACCACCTCACACTTAGTGTTTCTGGCAAAGGTTCTTAGTCCACTAAAAGCCCTGATCAAGATAAATCACTTAAAAGTGTGTAAAGGACTGAGGGGGACACAAGCCTGGAGTGATAATGGAGGACAGACTTTAAAAGCAGCCTACAGCTATACTCTTACCAAAGCATGACTTTCAGTGTAGCCAGAATCATAGTTCAATATGAATATGAAGAGCTCCAGGGTCCCAGGCTTTTAACAATACAATTGAGTTCTCTGGTTTCCTCCCAACCTGCCAAAAACATGAAAAAGTAAAAACAACAGTCCAATGTATATAAAATGGCACCACCACATTGCAACCGTAGGTGCACTGAGAACACTATGACTTAAATAACTTGCTGTTATTTAAAACAATATGACTTCAATAAACAGACTAAAACAAACAAAACAGTGACAGGAGCATCAGGAAGACGTGCCAGTGTACCCTGTCAACCTGAGGAAACCCAGTCTGAGGAAACCAGACAACCTGGATGAAACCCACACAATTCATGAGCGTCAGCCTCATTCAGGGCTCCAGTGGCGCAATCGGTCAGCGCACGGTACTTATAAGGCAGTACAGGTGATGCAATGCCGAGGTTGTGAGTTCGAGCCTCACCTGGAGCATGTTTTTTTAACACTGCCTCCAAACTTTCATTGTGGCCTGATTGTACTGCAATATGCATATAAAGAGCACGATCTCTCTTAATGATTATGCATGTTGTGTGCTGGAAGAATGACATGTCCATTAACAGCAGTTTCTTCTTACCTCCCAAAAACACGCCAGTAGCTTGATAGGCTAAAATAACTGAGGTATGAGTATGTACCTAATGTGTACTATACATAGAGATATGTAATGTTTATTTAATGATATTCAAGAAAACATATTGTTTGGAGGAGACATGAAATAAGTTTTTAAGTTCTTTGTCCGATACCGTTTGGAGTAGATATGAAATCAGTGTAATGTTATTATATATTATAAAGGTATTTAAATGTTTATATTATATTTACCCATACCGCCCCACTCCCAAAACAAACAAACAAAAAATCCTTCCCAAATAGAGTCCCCCAGTGTATTTTGGACATTTCCACCACTGGCTAGACTAGATTGAACAAAATGTTAAACATTCATATTCTTATGGTCTCAATATATCTACAGTTTCCAGTGACTAAAATTTCAGCAGTTTTCAGTGACTAAAACTAGACTAAAATAGTAATGGTTTTCTTTGACTAAGATAAGACTAAAATGCCCAGACTTTTAGTCAAGTAAAACTAGACTAAAAAACAGAATAAAATTGACTAAACATGAAAAACTAAGACTAAGAATTGATGACAACATTAACATTGTATCACACCTACAATCAATATAGAGCCTTTTTCTGGGAAATCTGAAGAAATCAGTAAACCTGGATGAAACCCACACAATTAATCAGAATCACCATCATTCAGGGCTCCAGTGGTGCAATCGGTCTGCGTGTGGTACTTATACAGCAGTACAGGTGAAGCAGTGCTGAGGTTCTGAGTTCAACCCTCACCTGGAGGGATTTTAGAGTATCTTACAACCTTAGTTATTCCAAAGGTCGACTTTCAGAGTTGCTGTAATTATACTTGGAGATCATGCGCTGAATTGTGGTTAATCATATGGTACAGATCATTCGCAGCTCCTTGTTTAAGGCTTCAAGACATTCTCTTATAGGAAAGTAACCAGCTTTAGGGTGGTAACAGTATATCAGTATTGTGTTGGCCACATCACCATGTTGGTGGTGATTTTTCTGTAAGAGCACATCCTTGGTGTTTTATGGCACTTTTGTAGGGCTCCAGTGGCGCAATCGGTTAGCGCACGGTACTTATACAGCAGTACAGGTGAAGCAATGCTGAGGTTGTGAGTTCGAGCCTCACCTGGAGCATGACTTTTAGAGTATCTTACAACCTTAGTCATTCCAATGGTCAATTTTCAGGGTTGCTAGAATTATTTTTGAAGATCATGTGCTGAATTGTGGTTGCTCATATGGTACAAATCATTGGTAGCTCAATGGCTAAGGATGTGGGTTACTTGTCTGAGGATTGGTGGTTCAAGCCCCAAAACTGCCATATTGACTCTGTTGGACCTAGTTTACACTTAGCTGCTCCAGGCGAACTCTGTCATCTCTGACCTAACAAGTTGAGCTATATGATATATTGTTCATTTACTTGTTTTGGATTGAATTGGAACAAAAGGTATAATTAAAACTATTACATGGTTGTAAAGAAAAAAATAGTAGACTACATATATATACTTAAATATGACTGCACTTTAAAAGCAAAATATATTAAAAATCTGTCTAATATTTCGTTAGTTCTCCTCCTATTGCCCAAGAGCCACCAGTCTAGGAGTGTAAGCCTGCTTTGTATGCACAACATAAATCTGCCACATAGTATACAACTTTTTAAACAGAACAGAAAAGGTGATCTCTTGACCAGGTGATCATCTTAAACACTTTACGAGTACACCACTCAGGAACTGTGGGTTTTTTTCACCTCGTTTTATGTTTTGTCTTTTCTTCCCTGGTTAGTCTCACAAGTAATGTCCGGTCAAGTCAGGTTATATAGAATAAACACATTTGATTGATAATTCCTCTTTCCACACTTTAAAAAATGTTTCAAACATATACATATAGTTTGTTAATTATCCCCACCACAATCAAAGCATGCATTCCTCCATCTTTTTTCATTTTTTTTCCTATAGCTGTTTTTTTTTTTTTTACCTTCCTCCAAAATCCTACCGATTTACTTTGGGGAATATTACTCTCAGTGTTTTGGATTATTTGCTGACGCATCTGTTGGCAGATTAGCGAGCCTTCGACCCATCCTTGCTCTTTTTTGGCTCCTTATATACTATGATTAAACGATTACCTTACCTGTTTCACATCACCTTCTTATTTCAACTTGTCACATCGCTATTAGTCCTAAACTGCACCTGTCTGAATTGTTTTGGAACGTGTTGCATGCACCAATTTAAGAAACCTATGCAGCTGCTTAGGTAAAACATCAAATACCTGTCTTTATACGTTTTTGTTTAAATACAAGTCAAAGTACATTTACAAATCACTCCTCTTGTTTTTCATTAACATATTCCATACTGTCCCAACTCTTTCGGAAATGGGGTTATATAAACCACGTTAAGAGTACCTGTAGATATTATCTATTTTATATATATATATATATATACATACATATATATATATATATATATATATATATATATATATATATATATATATATATATATATATATATATATATATATATATATATATATATATATATATATATATATATATATATATATAAAACAATCTCATTAATACAGTAGTGTAGATACATGCAGTAATCTTTAAGCAGCCTGGCATTACAGTGTGTTGCATAAGTATTCGCCCCTCGGGATATTTCCACATTTTGTGTCTACTTCTCAGTCCTTTAATTGGCAGACAGTTCATTTTTCCAGTAGTGATATCAGGCTAAATATTTAAACTCGGACCATTTTCTTTCAAAAACCTGCTACATAAATTTTGAGAAAAAACTCCTTGTAATGTATCCTTGCTCACTTGATTATTTTGTATATGGAATAAGCATTTTGAATATATTAATGCAATTAGGAACTTTCATGTTTTTTTTAAAACATTTTTGGCAAGATTTTTTTTCACTTCTAGGAAATATGGATTATGTGGTTCAGACTAGTGACATAAAAGCTGAACTAAATGCTTTCTATTTTTTAGCTTTTTATCAAGACAAAAGCCCAGGATGGATGAATGAACACCTTATACCCAATCAGATTTTGTTTAACATTAAGGAAAGGAATCTCCAGTGTCACTGGTTGCTAGCCGTCTGACTTAAAGCTATTCTTGTTGACCATTTTATGATAAAAGTGTCTAGAATTGTATAAGGATTCCTTTATTCACTGCTCTGTCATATTGTCATCACCTACTCTGTTGTGCTGCAGCTTTGGGATTGAACACGATGGCAACAGCAATGACTGCGAGCCAATTGGGAAAAGGCCGTTTGTCATGTCTCCTCAGCTCCTGTATGGAACATCTCCACCCAACTGGTCGCGGTGCAGCCGCCAGTACATCACACGCTTTCTGGAGTGAGTATCACGCTGCCTGATTTCTCATCTCTCTCTCTCTCTATAAATATCGTTCTTGTCCTTAGCAATCAGTCAGATTTTCCACTCTTTTCCATGAAGTAAAGTGCCCTTCTACAGCTCAGATGTGGGTATAATAATCTTGACTTGAGATGGTCTGATTACAGGGTTTTGGATAGGATGCTACACAGTAGAATGTAATTCATCTGATTGAGTTTCGGAGCATGTGGAGCGAAATGACTTTGCCAGGACTTCTTGTGTGGGTGTAAAAGCTTCATCTTGAGGCGTGCTGATTATGTTCTGTTTACTGTGAGTCACCCATTGGATTTGTTTTGGGGTTTTTAGACAAATTTTGGCGTGGACCAAGTTGGCCTCGTCTATATTTGACTCTGCTAGAGAAGGTGCAAACAGCTCCGATTTCACCAAGCGACAACTTGGCTGTGTGGTTTCTCCTGTCAGTTTTGCTCCACCAGCTGGAGTGCATTAATCATAGGTCAGCATTGGTCAGACTGGAGGAAGGTGAGATACCTGAGGGAGTATTTTACACAGAAGCCAGTGACCTGGGACTGAACCAGGCTGGATCATTATACCAAAGGCATGCTGGCTGATCAGTTCACTGTTTTTGTTCCTGTTCTCCCACAGTCTTCAGT